GGGGGCAAGAGAAAATGGGTGGGTAAACAAAATTTTATGGGTGGAAATGGGTGGGTTGAATAAAAATTCACCAAGCCAAGGGGTGGGTAAAGTAAAAATCATTAAGTCGGAAAATACTAAAATATTTGTATTATTTGTTTTATTAAGATCGAATAAATATCATTTACATTATATATCGATTTGCAAAGTATTCCATTTGAACCTGCCATAACAATCATGATAAAGTGACAGAGTTCATACTTGTTGGCTTTTTTGTTCTCTCAAAACTCAAATAAGTCAATTTAGCTTTTAAAGAAGTAAATTGACAAAATTAAGTTAGGGTGGGTCTAAGATTTTTGAACGAACTGGGATTGGGTGGAGAAGGTTGAAGGTTGGGTCACTAAAAAATTTGGCCAAGAAAATGTTTCTCCTCAGTGCCCCCCCCCGGCCATAAATAATGACCGGTCCCTAAGCACTTCTAAGGGTTAATACCACTGAACTCTATAAATACTGGAACAATAACTCCAGGTAAACGGCCCTATGATTGGGTGAAGCCAAGATGGCGGCCAATAGAGTGTATCGATATTCTCGACACTCGCAAAAAGTATCGGTAATTCGATACAACTTGAGCCCGCGGGTATTTTTGGTCAGTGTCTGTGAACAGTCGGTAAATACTTCATGATACAGAGTTTTGTGAACTCGTGTTTTCGCTTTTTTCAAGTTTGAAATCTCTTTTCTTTTTTAAAAATAAGATTAATATTGACATACCTGAGAGGAACTCTAACAAAGGTATAGCAACTTGGGGCGTCGGTGAAAGTTTAGCAAACTTTTCTAAGTATGTCGGAAGCAATCTAGAAACAGAAAATAAGTAACAAAATTAACGCCAGACAATCTTTACCAGGCAGTCTTTAGATATAGGAACCAGTTGGTGATACCAGTCTTAGAACTGGATCAAAATTAATTCAGTCCTTGGACTGGATCAAAATTCACCTCACTTTAAGTAGTGATTTATTCGTACGAGATGTCATCTGGACTGGACTAGATGTTGGCTTCGCCTCGGACGTGATCAAATGGACCTATTCCCTAATTTATCCCATACCTGTGTTAAAAGCGGCTTTCTGATTGGTTTAGAGCAGGTGAGCTTGTCGTCGAGCTCACCTGCTTTTTGCCGAACTCACCTGCTTTTCGCCCGAACTCACCCGCTAAACTGCTTACGTTGCAATAACAATAACAAATATGGCGGACAAGATTTAGCCGATAAACCTAAATTTAAAGAACTTTTTTCGGTGACTAACATACTGAGACTGAAGAAAAACCAAAGAAAAAATGCAGTAAAGGTAATGTAGACGTAGATAAAGAAGTATTTTCTTGCCCAGTGATTTTTTTGGCCGGGAAAATGTTGACAAAACATCGACGAATATATCGCGAAGACCTACAAATCTGTGTATGGCTCGGTGTATGGGATAAAAACCAAACGTACTTGCAGGTTCGGTGAGTCCGGGATTGGACGCACCTCGGGTGGCTGGAAGTTTCCCGAACTCACCTCGCTTCGCTCGGTAAGTTCGGGAAACTTCCAGCCACCCTCGGTGCGTCCAATCCCGGACTCACCTCCCTGCAAGTACGTTTGTTATAGAACAACATTTTGATCTAAACAAGTCTAAGCAAAAATTTCATCACACATCACAAGTTTCGTTGCGAAATGTTGTAAAATGCGGATAATATAGCCCTGCGAAGTTTGCCGTTTTTCAGTTATTTTGTATTACAAACGCGAAATTGATACCGATTAGTGAAAAAAGGCATCAATTTCCCGTGCGTAATACAAAATGACTCAAAAACGGCAAACTTCGCAGGGCTATATTATCCGCATTTTACAACATTTCGCAACGAAACTTCGGAATATTACTAATTTTGTGATGCTCTTTCAAGCTGTGATGAAATTTTTGTCTAGACTTGTCTAGATCAAAAATTTGTTCATTAGGGAATAGGTCCATTGCGCGGACTTGAAACCTAGTCCAGTCCTCATAGTCGAATTTGAAATAATCAATCGCATTCATAGTTTACAAAGATCACGTGACTTGACATTCAAAATAAAAGTTCTTAATATACATACCGGGCCACGATAGAAGGTATTTCCAACATACATACGGTGAGACACGAGACACACAACGCCGCGGAATGAGCCACCAAGCCAATCTCCATCGTATGCATGAGACAGAACTAGAATAATTATACAAAAATATGTTTTTGAAATTTCTTAACCACTCAACTAAACTAATTTATACTGGATAGCTCTATCAGTACATATATGCATGTTCTAAAGGTCGACGTCCAATACCAGGGCCTTATATGTCATGTGCTACTACAGGGTCATGAGAATGAGAAAACTCTCATGCAATCTCTGGTCTGTGGATGGAAAAGACCCACTTTCACTCAAGAAAATTTTCCGCGGAAAGAAAAATTTGTAAAATGTGATTGACCAACAAAAAGATAAACTTTTGTCTCACAAACTCGGCTGAAATTTCAACCCGGTCAACAGGGCTGAGTTCAACCCCGGGGTTGAAAATGCTCCATGTAATCTGCCCCTTAAGCCAGTTTTCCGCTTAAAGCGTACCGTACCGAAACGTATCAAAAACATTTTTAAATTTCAAAATTTAGTGAATGTTGCTTGGTTAGTACTTCCGTAGTACGCCAAAAAGTTGACTTGCGACGAACGTTTCATTTCGATACGCGAATACACCCGGAAGTACGTGGATTTATTAACCTCTTTTCAATCTGCGCATGCTCACCAGTACGTTTCGGTACGGTACGGTTGAAGTGGAAAACAGGCTTTACTGCCTTTAGAATGATTTAATTTAAGCTATTTTAAACAAAATGTCACGTTATCATATTATACAATCGTATCCAAGCATTTGTGTTGTTCCTCTTCACCCAATGGCAAAGAACGCTTTTGAAAACCAAAAAATCGTGCAGCAATCCTTTAGGTATTTGCTGTGTTGGTGTAATGTACTCAGGTGAATAAGATGCTAAATTCACCTGAGCACATTACACCAACACAGCAAATATCATGATTATTAGATTACATTGATATCGAAGGAACTAGACTCAGTTCCGAAATATCACATACTCGAACCGACCTGACCGCGTAGCTCATGCAGTTGGCAGAGCATTGGGCTAGTATTCCAAAGGTCGTAGGTTCGATTCCCACCGTGGCCAGGCAAATTTTTCAAGCCTGCCCGGTGTGGATATACACTCAGAGTAACTTCACAAGCATCAAATCCTTTAGGTGCTAGCAGAAATTCTTAAACTCAACCCAATGGACAGCTTGTGCAGAATGGTTCAAAAGATCAGAAGACAGTAAGCAAAGAAAACTCTCAAGCAAGGGACATTTGCTGAACTAGAGATTGTTGTTCGGATAGCTAAATTGTTCGGATTGCTAAGATCTTGGTTAAATCCATGCCCAAAGCGAAAAGAAGGTCCGAAATGCACGGGGTCGGGGATTTGCGACTACATGTTATTGACAGATATCCCAACAATTTTTAAATATTATCCGATACATTTTGTTCAAAATAGCTTAAATGAAATGCATAGTTATACATGTAACGCTTTATTGGAAAAGTCTGTAATGGAATTTTGGAAAATCTTGAACGTTTTGGCCATGTATATTCAAACCTTTGGCGAGTACTTGTACACAACAATGTCGGTTTATAGAGGTTGTTTTTACTTGCATATACAGTGGCAATAAGCAAAACAGTACAAGTGATTTTGCTCAATAATCGTGAAAATAAACACGATTGTCGTCGGTTAGTTAGAGGAAATGAACCCAAAGTTATCTCATTTGAATATCGCACACCCCAAAATATCTTAATAACGAAGTAAGGAACAAAAAGACAATTCGAGATTTCCGTATCCACTTCAGTCCTGACGTATGGGTGTTGTTAGACCGTGTAACGTCCGCTTCAGGACAAAAATACAACAACAACTCTATCAAAAAGGGAAGGAAAAGACTGTACTTCCTAAAACTGTTGAGAAACTATGCTGCTCCGAAAGAAAATTTGCTAAAATTCTTTAAGTCTGCAATCAGACCAGTCCTGCGCTTGAGTGTGGAGATGTCGTTTGGACAGAAAGGCTATAGCTAAGGGACGGACCATTAGAAAAGTGATGGGGGGGGGGGGATTTTCTAAGAGGTAATATATATTTTTTTTGTACACCTATAGAAGAATTTTTTTTTCTCACTTGATGGCTGGAAATACTTTTTTTGAAAGTGAAATTTATAGGCCTATCTTCCAAGCTAGGAATTTTTTTTTTGCACTATGCCTGGGAAGATTTTTCTTCTCCTAATTTTTTTCTGGGAATAAATTTTGTTTTTGGTTTTGCCCCCAGGGACGAAACTTGAGGGGGGTATGGGGGACCCCCAAAGCTGGATTGGCAGGGCAAATCATCTGGATTGGCAGGGCAATGAAAGATTTTAAATGATAGAATGTAGAGTTATTAAGTAGCTTCCAGAGGGAATTGAATATAATTTATAGACCTAAATTTTACAGATATTGGTAAAAAAATAAGGGTTTCATGCATGTTTTAACAGGAATTTGTCCGAAAAAATTTTTTTGACCCTTAATTTAACTGTTTTATGTCCGGAAAAACTTTTTTCGCCCCTTTTTTTTCGCCAACTTTTTTAGTGCCCAAAAAAAAATAGTGCCCAAAAAAAAAAATAGTGCCCAAAAAAAATTTTTCCTGCAGGGCATCATCGGCTTTCGCAGGGCAATTCTAGCAGACACCCCCCTAATTAAAAGGGGCTAGTTTCGCCCCTGTTTGCCCCTCGCCCCCCCCCCCATCACTTTTCTAATGGTCCGTCCCTAAGCAATTTGCAACATGAAATTCTAATTGGTTCTATATAAACATCTCTTTTTAGAGACTCGTCCCTCAACTGGACTGTTTTTCTTTGGAACAGCCTTCCCGATCATTGAATGTACCTGTATTTCCTCTTTCAAAAACAATCTGCATTCTCACTACATTTTCTGATTTTCAAACTTGAATCTATACCTTTGACGTCAATAAGAATGCGCACTTGGAAGACTTATCGTTCCAAGTTCCTACAACCCAACTTGTTGTTTTTAAAGGTTAATGGGCCTATTCCCTAATGAACAAAATTTTGATCTAGACAAGCCTAGACAAAAATTTCATCACAGCTTGAAAGAGCATCACAAAATTAGTAATATTCCAAAGTTTCGTTGCGAAATGTTGTAAAATGCGGACAATATAGCCCTGCGAAGTTTGCCGTTTTTCAGTCATTTTGTATTACGCACGGGAAATTGATACCGCTTTCTGAAAAAAGGTATCAATTTCCCGCACGTAATACAAAATGACTGAAAAACAAAAGATAAAATAACTTTTTGGGCATGTATTCAAACCTTTGGCGAGTAACTGTATACACAACAATGTCGGTTTATAGAGTTCAGTTAGTGTACTTGCATATACAATGAAAATATGCAAAACACAGTTCAAGTGAATTTGCCCAATAATCGTGAGAATAAACACGATTCTCGTCTGTTAGTTAGAGGAAACGAGTCAAAAGTTATCTCATTTGAATATCACACATCCCAAAATATCTCAATAACGAAGTATGGAACAAAATTAGACAATTCGAAATTTCCGTATGCACTCTGACGCAATGGACATTAGACCGTGTGACGCCTTGGGGCTGCAGTAATTCACAACAGCTGTTGCGGTTCCCCCATAATGACTGAAAAACGGCAAACTTCGCAAGGCTATATTATCCGTATTTTACAACATTTCGCAACGAAACTTTGGAATATTACTAATTTTGTGATGCTCTTTCAAGCTGTGAAGAAAATTTTGTCTAGACTTGTTGAGATCAAAATTTTGGTTAATTTAATGTGTGTCCATTGTTGTATTAAAAGATAAAATAATAGTCTAGGCTAAGTAAGTCACATGAACGTAATACTCGATGTAATCGGTCACGGAAGAGCCCCAATGGAGAGGGACCAGCCGAATAATAATGTAACGTCAGAACCTCTTCGAAAATGTCAGTAATATCAAAATAGATTGATGATGGCGACACCAAAAGCTTTATTCATGCATTATCCAGTTTAGGTTTTGAGACCAGTGAGGGGGGATCTTAACAGGGGATCCTAACAGCGCAAAAGCGAAGTTCCTCTACCACTTAGACTTATCAGAGCACTACATCGAATTACTTTGCCAATATGTGAAAAACGGAAATTCCCAAAGCATTTTAGAAGACTATAACAAAGTAATTAATAAAATGTTTTGTTTACGAAAAGTTCCCTTTTTAGGCTTCAACGAGTGCATAAAAGAACGAATTTCGATGAGCGCAAGTCAGTGAAGTCAGTCACAAAGACACGCAGCAGTAAAGTCGCAAGAATAAACAAGAAGAATTGAAGTATAAGCAAGAGGTACGTTAGAAAATGTTTGAGTTTTCTATGCTTTTGCTAAAAACGTGTAGCAGATGAGGTAAAATTATTGTCAAACTATTGTTACAGCTTTGTCACATATAGTTACAGTGTTCAGCTATCGTTTAAAGGCTTTCAAAAATTATTGAGTTAACAAAATGAACTTAAAAGTTTTTATAAATCAGAACGATTCTGTCCAAAATTTATATACATGCTCCTTAACAGTCATGATTTACTTTGTGTATTGCTCAAATCCCACGAAAAAATATTGAAACCAAATGTTCTTTTTTTCTGTGTATAGCTGAAGTTCGCGATGGTTTCCAAAGTGTTGGTGATAATTCTATTGATGGTAGCAATTAACGGGGCCGTTGGTGGCTTGACATGTGGTCATAACTGCTGGCACAATGACTGGCGTCATAGAGATGACCGAGCAAGAGATGCTGGGCAGTACGGCAAAAGATGTTCTGTTGCTTATTTTTGGGGTGGACGGTGTTATTGTTATGGATGGCCATTTTGCCGTTAAACTAAACCAAGAACTAGCAATTAGAACTTGATTAATTTGGAAGTAGAGCAATGAACTCGATTACTTTGGGAACAAGCAATTTAACAGAACTTGATTAATTTCATAACTAAGCAATTAGAACTTGATTAATTTGAGGACTAGCAATTAGGACTTGATAAAGGTAAACAATTTGTAGTATTATTTCTGTGGTAATCGCCCGTTCAATTTATACGACAAATCACAATGAAATAAAGACTTCTAAATTTATTTTTTTTACAAAATTTCAATGGAATTTGAATTGGGCTGCTTTCGTTGGTAGGAATGCAACATAGGCAGATTTTACTCTACCCCCCGCCAATGTATCCTTAAACTTTTCACGACCCACCCCTATTTGAAACTTGGAAGATTGATGATCCACCCCTCAATCTCCATAGCCTATTTCCGCCTATACTTTATGACCAGTCCCTTAAAAAAATTTTCACAGTTTTTCAATTCCTGACAACTTCACCAAAAAAAAATTGAGCCGATGCAGACAATTCCCATTATAGACTAATTTTAAAACTGGGCAAGGAGATGCAAATAAATCACCACAGCTAGAAAGAGCATACTAAAAGGAGTAAAATTGCAAAGTTTGGTTGCGAGATGTTGTAAAATGCGGACAATATACACTCTTAAAAATAGGTGTGCTAAACAACACACCTTGGTGTGTTATTTAACACACAAGGTGTGCTAAAATAGCACACAAGGTGTGTTTTCTTGTCACAAAACACACCAAGGTGTGCTACAAAACACACCAAGGTGTGCTGAGCAGAACACAGTGTACGCAAAAGGTGTGTTCTGTAACACACCTTTAGCTAACACACCTTTCGAATAAGAGTAAGGTGTGCTCAATTAACACACCTTTGAAAGATAACACACCTTTGGAAGATAACACACCTTTTAAAATAGCACACCTTTCTCCAATAACACACCTTTTTCTACTAACACATCTTTTTTTGTGCCCCAAAATAGCACACCTTTTTTCAATAACACACCTTAAAATAACACACCTTTGACGTTGTTAAATTCAGCACATC